GGCAGAGACCTACAAGCCAAGGAGCACCGAAGACCGCCAGCAGCACCAGGAGCTGGGAGAGGCCCGGAGCAGGTGCTCCCTCCAGCCTCAGAAGGAACCCGCCCTGCTGACGCCTTGATCTTGGGCTTCCAGCTTCCAGAACGGTGAGATGTAAATTTCTGTTTGTTAAGCCCCTCGGTTTGTGGTGCCGTAAGAAACCAGCACACTCAGTCATTGGTGGGGTGTAGATTCAAACTTGGGCATTCTGGCTCTAAAACCCAAAATCTATACTCAGTTCTCTGAGGCCTCTTGGTGTCTCTGGAAACACTTGTCACTGTGCTGTGCTTACTGCAAGCGCTCAGAGCACAGGAGCTCTTCGCCTCAGATCAGCCCCTTCTTAGAGAAGGGCACCCCGCCTCCCCAGGCAGCCAGGGATGGAATGGACCCCGTCATGCCCTTCGCCCACCACATTCAGCCAGAGCCAGGGGATCCTAGCGCTGTACCTCCAGGGGACCCCAGGTCCATTCTCCCTTCTCCACTGATGCAGCTGCTCTGAGTGCTAAACGCTGGTCCCAAAGAAGTGTGCCTCCCAAGTGCCACCACAAACCCCACAAATAAGAGACCCATGGGAGAGCAGCAAACAGGAAGAGAAGGAGGCCAAGGCCTCATTCTCAGGGGATAAAGTGTCCTGCACGAAGTCTTTTCATTTATTTATTTTTTAATGTTCCAAAAGGACATTTTGAAATCTGAGGAGCGGGACTAAATATTTACCCGATCAATTCCAGGGACCTGTCAGGGGGTGGTGATGCAGAGCAAATAGCTCAGGGACCTTGTTTAGGACACAGCCATTTTCTTTCATTCATTCATTTATTTATTCATTCATTCACCAAATAGTCACTGGGCCTCAGCCACATGTCAGACCCTACGATCAGCACTGGAGCACTGGGGTCAACAGGGCCCTGCCTTCCAGATGTTCTAACTGGGGCCTAGGGGTGGGGGTGGGGGAGGAGCAGTGATTAATGTCAGCCGACCATGTTTGATAGTAGGGTGACAGTTTGCCTTGGGGAAGTGATGAGGCATTAAAGGGAGATCCTGGCAGAATGCAGATTCTCAGAGGCGGGAAAGGGAGCACCCTGGGTGATAGGGACCGGCAGCAGCAAAGGCCTAGGGGTAAGACGCTGTGGGCCTCCTGGGAGAACAGCAAGACTATTCATGACTGACGTCACCGGTACCTGAGAGCAAGGAGAGGAGCTGAGGCAGGAGAGGCAGGCAGGGACCAGATCGGGAGGGCCTCGACTGCAGATAGAGGAGCTGGAACTTTATCTTGTAGGCGCTAGGGAGCCACTGGGTGCATTTGAGTAGAAGAGGGATAAGTTTAGTCAGAATAAGGAGCATCACTCTCAAGGCTGAACTGAGAGTGGCTGTTCCCCGCTTTTCTCCCCTGCATCGCATCAGGGCCTCCCTTCCGTATATCACCCTGGCAGTGCCATGGCCGCATAACCCTAGGTCTATGCCTTCTTTCTGACTTGCCTGAGGCTCTTGAACCTGCAGTGTATCCCGTGACCATGGCCATCTACTCTGGGAGAGATACTGGCCACATCTCCATGGCCATGGGTGGGGGCAGTGCCTATGCAACCCAGGAAGCTGCCCGCCTCACTGAACCTTCTCACCAGGTCTCTGTGGCAGCTCCTTGGTTAATGTTCTCCTGGCCAAGGCCTTCTGGGCATCCCCGCTGGAGCAAGGCACCCACCCTGCCCGGGGGCTGCTGGCTGCCTACAGCACTTCCTCCTTCTGCTGACACTTTGCCAACCCACAGGAACTTGGAGGACCTCATGTGTGGACCAGGTATGCCAGGGGAGTGCAGGGCCAACCTCAGAGGGATGAGAAAGGAATGCATTTATTGAGCCTTTGCTATGTACAAGGTACCAAGCCAGCTCCTCACAGTCATCAGTTTGTTTACTTAGCACACTTTCTGGGACAGAAACTTATTCCGAGATCACATGATCTGCCTGAGGTCTCATAGACCTGGGGAGCTGAGTGTTCAGCCCACACCTGTCTGGTGCCACCCATATCCCTCGCCCTCACCAACAGCTTCTGCCTGGACTCTTGGCATCTTCTGCACCCCCACTCCAGAAGCAGAGCTGCTCACAGCCAGCCCTCCAGGCCATGTTCTCCTGCTGACCTGCAGCCTTGGGAGGGCTATGATTCCATGGGGTTGACAACTTTGCCCAGAAAGAGGATGCTCTGGGTGTTTGTGGAAAAGATCACCACAAAGAAGGGCCGGTTGAACCGAAGGACCCGGCGATTGAGTGTGGCAGACAGAAAGGTGACAGAGAGGCTGGTGGCCGCTGCAGCCTTGGTGCCAGCCTCATCCACGTCCAGGATGGCCTTGTGGAAACTCTGGGAGAGAAATCACAAGCGTTACTTCTGAGAGAACATGCGTGGGGGCTTAGGGAAGACTAGGGGAGGAAGAGATCGCTGGAAATCAATGCTGAGGTTCATTGCATGCAAAACCACTTGTTGGGGAACCTCACAACAGGAATTTCTATGCTGGGTGGGTTGTTGAGCTAAATGGTCTCATATGTATACAGTAGTGATAGCTATCATTAATGGAACACTTAGTATGTCCCTCATGCTCTTTCTATCTTCAAAACCACCATATGAGGTCGATGTATTATGCCTGGTTTTTAGACGAGGAAAACACACTCAGAGACTAGGTAACCTTCTAACGCCATGAGAGGTGGAACTGGAATTCAAACTCTCAACCCCAAGGCTCTGCCCTCTAGTACACGTTAGTCTTACTTAGCTGAAGTCATCGGTCCCTTTCTCTCATCTAAGAAATCTCTCTGATGCCCATGCACCCAAGCCAGCCACATCTGTGTCCCTCCTCTGTTTCTGGCACTGCATTTGTCACTCTTCATGGCCATGACCTATGAAGGCACTCACTCCCCGATGTGACTGGGAGTCACTGTGTCCCCAGCAGCAGCATGTGGTGTTGGGTTTGTGGATGTTGATGCCTGTGGGTGACTGAACAGACTCAGCCTCTGAGACCTCACATGGTGGCAGGGAGAGCACCCATCACCCAGCAACTCCCGAGGGGTGAGTTGGCCCCCAAGGACCTCCACTGAAGTCTCTAGGTGTTGATTCTCGCCAGTGACTTACCCTAGACACCAGCAGGTTTCTCTCTGTGGTGATGCCAGACAAGTCAGCCTGCTGCGTAAACAGGTCCCTGATGCCCAGCACGGGCAAAATCTGATCTAAGTTATAGGAGCCGGAAATGGAGAACTTGGGGAAATGCAACTCGAGCTTCCTGTGAAAAGACCTGAAAGAGGCATTGGGTTAAAACACTGGACTCATGAACAAGCTGGGGATGACTGGGAGCGCTGTCCTTGACTGCACTCTCTAGCTGGCTCCATTCCACCTGGGTTCTATCGCCACAGATGCCCATTTGCTCATGCCATCCTGGTGGTTTAAGGCCAGGCTCCTTTGTCCCAGTGCCTGTTATCTGTGAGGCCTCCCTCCCTTGGGTGTTCATGTTCATCAGGGGTGCTTTCTGTGTGCGTACGAGGTGCCCAGAGAGATGCAGTCTCCCTCTGTGGCATCCTGTCTTTGCCTCTGTTGGGGACCTGTGGTTTTCAATTGTTTGGAACCAGGTGACATCTTTGGCTCAAAGTTTCTGTGCCACATGAATTGTGTGAATTTTCCATCCAGATACGACCTTGAATTGAGCCCCAAGTTGATGGGAAACTTCCCTGCTACTTCCTGGGATGAGTGGATGTAGTTTTTTTAAGCCCCTCCATGCCAGTTCTGTCATCCATCTTGACTGGGGGACTACCCCTCCATTGTACAGGAGTAGACCTTCCAAGGGCCAATATCTCTTCACCCAAGGCTTGTATGTACAAGGGCTATGTCTAGAATAAGGACTCCTAACTCCTAGTCTGGTTTTCTTTTCACTGATGAGGGTGAAATCATATTTGGGATGCAATAGGAGAGTTGATTATTTAAGGAAACCCACGGAACATCTTAGCACAAACAAGAATTCTTTCATAATTTGGCATTCACTCCCTATTTTGGGCACTGGTTTTCATCAGAAGGGTCCATTTGAAGGGTAGCACTGATGACCACATGGCCCACTGATTACCTCTTCTGCAGCAAATTGTTCCACCTTGTCAGCATCTCTGGAGTCAACACACTTTCCACCTGCTTCATTTTCCCTTGGTCAGGAAGGATGAAAAAGGCCTTTGCATTTCCTTTGTAATCCATCCTCAGCACCGAGCAGGGCAAGTATTTGTCGTGAAGATACCAGTGGTTGTGGCGGTCTTGAAACATCATAGGTACCTTGACTGTTGTACTTTCATCCACATAGAAGTTTTGGGGACTAGTCCTCGACGGGATAAATGGTTTCTCCCATTGACCTGAAGGGAAGAAGGGAAGATGGCGTCCGTAGCCCTTTAGCCAGGAAATGTCTCCTCAACAGCCACTCCAGACCCCACCTCCCCATGTCATCAGTGTGTCAATTTAGATCACTCACAACCCGACATGCCTGGGGGTGGGTTTCTCAGACTCATTTAGATTCAAAATTGAGAGATCCCAGAGAATCTCAGTAAGGTTGTCTTATGTCTTCACTAATTCCTTAAAATCGTCGCACTTAAATTTTTTGTTTGTGTGGTGGAAGCGCATTGTGGTTTTGACATGCACTTTCTTGGTTAAAAATGAGGTAAAGTGCCAACTAGATGTCCTCTGCTTTTAGTTCAGTGCCAGTTAATTTTTTTTTTCTTATTTGTATTTCTATAGGGCTATTTCGCAGTGATTGAAGGGGTTCTTTCTGAGTACTAGTTGCATATCAGTTATGTGTGTTGCAAATACCTTTTCTCCCTTGCTGACTGGTCTTTTCACTCATATAATGGTGTCTTATGGTGATTGATATCCTTAATGTTAATGCAGTGAACTTATCAGTCTTTTCCATTATGATTACATCTTCTGTCTCTTGGTTAGGAAAATTTTCCCTACCTCCAGGTCATGAAGATACCCTCCTACATTATCTTCTAGAAGTTTCATCTTATTGCTTGCATTTTGGACTTTACTTGGCCTGGATTAAATACTTATGATTGGTGGGAAGGAGGGACCCAAAACCATTTTTTCCCCATATGGGTACCTAGTTGTCTCAGTATCGATTTCTTTTTTTAATCCATCCTTTTTTCAATACTCTGTCACGTCAGCTTTGACAAATATAAAATGTCCATTTATTCATGGGACCATTTCTGGGCTCTATTCTGGCCTCTCTCTGTTCTGTCTCATTGGTCTATTTGTACCATATAGTCTAAGTGAACATAGAGTTATAATAAGAACAAGGTGTGATCAAACAATAAAGTAAAAGTTTAAATTAAAAAATGTATTACAGTAACAGACACGTTGCCATTAATCCCCCTCAAAATACTCAGCCTTGCTTCAAACACACTTATCCCATCGTTCTTGCCACTTTCTGAAGCAGTTCTGGAAGTCCTCTTTCATGAGTGTCTTTAGTTGTGCCGTTGTGACTGCCTCAGTGTCCTGAATAGATTCAAAACATTCTCCTTTAATGGTCATTTTGACTTTGGGAAAGAGCCAGAAGTCACATGATGCCAGATCTGGTGAATAAGGTTGATGAGGACACACCATAATGTTTTTATTTGACAGAAATTGCTGTACCAGAAGTGATGTGTGACACGGAGCGTTGTCATGATGGAGGATGATTTGCGGCACACTTTAAAACACACCTTCTCTCAACCATAGCTCACACATGACTGACTGTATCAAACAAGTTGAAACTTGTCATACACTGTTACTAAGGTTCAACGTGCTGCTTTCCATATTGAAGATCCCTGCCTTTCTGTTGGGTGGCACTTCACAGCAGCATTCACCGTAGTTTTTTATCACAACGGAAAGGCTCCATGTCACACATTGTGTCTGGTATGACAATTTCTGTCAAATAAAAACATTACAGTGTGTCCTCATCCACCTTATTCACCAGATCTGGCACTGTGAGACTTCTGGCTCTCCTCCAAAGTGAAAATGATTCAGGACATCGAGGCAGCCACGACAGCGCAATTAAAGACACTCACGAAAGAGGACTTCCAGAACTGCTTCAGAAAGTGGCAAGAACGATGGGATAAGTGTGCTCAAAGCAAGGGGGAGTATTTTGAGGGAGATTAATGGCATTGTGTATTTTACTATAATAATTTTTTTTATTTAAACATTTACCATATTGTTTGATCACACCTCATATTGCTCTCGGGCAGACAAATTTTCTCATTTTAGCTATTTTTGGCCCTTTGCACTCTCATATACATTTTACAATTGGCTTGGTAACTGCCACCAAAAAGAAAAAACAATTCTGTCAGAATTTTGATTGGGATTACATAAAATATTTAGATTAATTGGGAGAAAGAATGGATAGCTTTACCATCCTCTTCATGAATATAGTTTATTTTTTTTATTTAAGTCTACTTTAATATCGCTCTATATAATCTTATCTACAGAGATCCTGCACGTCTTTTGTTTGTCGTCTTCTAGGTTCTTTTCATTTTAAAATACAAACCACAATTATTCCACTGCTCTTACCATGTGACTTACACTGAGGGTTTAGGGCTACATTTATATCCTCAGAGTGCTGGGCAGGTGTGTCAGGGGGCAGGACATCTCTACCTCCCTCTTGTTCTAGAGAACCGCTCCTCCTTCTGCCAAGAACACTAACCCAGTTGGAACTAGGACTCTTTCAGGAATTTAGCACAAAAAATCGTCATTATTTCTGGCCAGAGCTTTGGGTAAGGTGATGGTGTATACTATACATTAAATTATGTTTTAAAAGGAATGGAGTCAGGGCTGGCCGAGTGGCGCATTGGTTAAGAGATGGCTTGGGGCGCCAGCTGTGAGCAGCAGGGCCCTGGTTCGGATCCCACATGAGGGCCAGTGACACTGTCCTCAATAGCTAAGATGGTGAACAACAGCTCAACCTGGAGCTGGGATGCTGTGAGCTGCTGGCGACGGCATAGGCTGCAGCCCGTGCTGCAATGGGCTGCCGTAAGCTACTGTGAGTGGCCGGCAGCCAGCGTGAGCTGCCAAGAGCCTCCGTGGGCGGCTGTCCAGAAGCCGGCGACCGATCTGCCTCACCCGGGAAGAGCGCAATGATGGTGCCAACTTGAGCCAGGGAAGCGACATCCTCCACAACTAGACTGAAGAACAAAAGGTGGACAGCAACTTGTCTGTTCATCTTCCCTGATTCCCCTCCCCAATTCCCCAATAAATTCTTTTAAAAAAAAACAAGGAATGGAGTCAGAAGAATACTGTGCAGCCACTAAAGTGAGATCTAAATAAAGTTTCTCATAGCATAAAATTATAACACACACACACACACACAAGTGCATGCAAAAACTGGTAAAATATGAATAAAATCTGTAGATTGTCAATTTCCTGGTTTTGTTGTTGTGCTACAGTTACGTAAGATGTTATCTAGGGAACCTGGGTGAAAGGTACATGGTACCATCCTGTACTACTTTTGCAACTTCCTAAGAACTTATAGTTATTGCACAATTTAAAAAGTTTTTAAAAATAGTTTTCAGCAGTGCATGAAAATTCCTCATGTAAAATGCAGGCGATGACCAATTTGGCTGGATTGTTAGTCTGGGACTGTTTCCTAGAGTCTGTTCCCTGCAGATTCTGATGCAAGCTGATCACAAGTGTGAGGTTGAGAGGTAGATGTGAAGCAGCCACTGCTCACTGAAGGTCATCATGGGCATACAGGACAATGGCCAGACCCGGAGGAGCCCGGCGTGCTCCAGCTCACCCATGCCATCCTCCAAGTTTGTTGTCCCAACTCTAGCATTGCTGACCAACAGTGTCCCCAAACCACCACTAGGTGCCCAGCATGGGCCTCTCCACAAGCTCCCCCTACATGGGACCGCCCTGGTAGCTGGATGTGTCTGGTGTATAGATTCCTGATAAACTCTAACTTGTCCGCCTGTACCAGTGACTTTTTCTCTGTCCCTCCACCTCCCTCCTCCAGACCTTCACTTCCCCAGCCCCTCGCACAATCATGCAAGGTCTAATTCCTGTAACAATCCCTTTTCCCTTAACACTCCTGGTGGCTTTGCTCCACGGATGGAACCCTGACTGATGCACACAGGACAAAACTGTCCCCACACTGTGATTTCAACTGTGTTAACGTATGTGTGTGAACCAAAGACTGAAAAGAATTATGCTAAAATGTAAACATTGGTTGCCTCAGGGTGGTAGGATTATGGGCAATTTCTATTTTGTTTTTTTGTACTTTTACGTATTTTTGAAGTTTTTCAAAATGAGCGTCGTTATCATTAGAGTAATTATAATTACTGTAATTTTTTTTTATTGAGTCTGTATAATGAGGTTGGGCAGACTTCTTTTGCAAAGAGCCAGAAAGTAAATATTTCAGAGTTTTGCAGGTTATTCCGTCTCTATAGCAACTGCTTGTCTCTCTGTGTGTGAAAGCAGCGAGAGGGACTATATCAATGAGTGAGCATGGCTGTGTGCCAATAAAACTTTATTTATAAAAACAGGTGGCCCAGCAGACTTGGCTGGGGGCTGGAGTTTGCCCACCCCTTTAGGCTCTCTTCTAAGGTGTATTCATACATGTAACATCACTTGATCCTCAAAACAAAGCTTTGAAGCTGGGAATCTTATTATCCTCACTTCAAGCAAACAACCTGCCCTGTTTACACTGCTGGTAATTGGCAGAGCTTTGACATAAATCCAGCAGTTCAACTCACAATAATTGGATATAATATATTTCATAAACTATGATTATTTAAGAAAATACGTCTAAAGATATGAAGGGCTGGAAATCTCAATACTACACAATCTTAAATACCTGACGCTCTAGCGTTAAATCTTCTGAGGGCTGTTCAACTTTATCAGACCTAACGCATTCGCTTTCTTTTTAAAAAAAAATCTTTAATTCATCAATAAATTGGAAGGGGGGGAGGAAGGATGATATAGGACCTATCAACGAATGGGCTCTTACCTTTGAAGTAAACGTAGTTCACCAGCACCATCACTGTATCTGTGCTGAGCCCGCCCACCAAGCTCGGAATCTTGCCTCGAGTTTCCTCCTTGATGTGGTCGTTGATAAGCTGGGTTGTACCCTCAGAGTCGAGGAAGTTGGTGTGGAAGAGTTTGGACTCATAGAAGGCCATGGTGTCATTAAGGAACCTCGAAAGGAGCGGTAGGTCCTGGCTCAGGAAAAGGGCACTGCCCACACGTGTCTCTAGCTGGTCGTCTGGGAGGTTGAGAGTGTGCAGCAGGTGCTGGAAGCCCAGGTGGATGTCGGACTCGGACACTTCCGTGAGGTTGAAGCCCAGACCCTCGAGGATCTGGGTCCACGTGTGGGAGCGGGCCCCCAGGGACAGCATGGCGTAGGCGGCGGAGATGCTCAGAGGGGAAAAGAAGATGTTGCTCCCAGGGTTTGGGGAAGCCATCAGGTGGTACAAGCTGAGGGCAAAAGCGGTGTTGCTCGGGGCGATCTTCAGACTGGGGGAGTCCTCACCTGTGCCTGGAGCCTCCTGATTGTGACTGTCGGTCTGACCTTGGCCACTGTGAGAAAGGGCCAGTAGTCCAACCAGGAGGAGTTGCAGGTGGTCGGTAAGATGCATCTTCTGAGCTCTCAGGTCTACAGGAGGAAAGAGAGGACCCAGGAAGTTCAGAACACCCAACTCTACAGAGACGCTGGGCAGGGGGTGGAGCCCCAGGGTGGGGACACCCTCAACTCCTGCAGATGGGCTTATGACAGACTAGCAAACACCTAGCTCCTTCCTTGTGTGTCGTGATAATGATATTATCTGGCATGCTCCTGTGTCTACCATCTCATTTTATTCACCATCTTCGTGATGTTTGCATGGCACTGGACTCCATTCCCGTTACAGAGATGGGAAAACAGAGGCTCTCAAACTGACTTCACCGTACATCTAACTGGTAAATATCTGAGCTGGAACACAGGTCTCCCGACTCTCAGCCTGGGGCGCCTTCCACCATGTGACCTTTTTTCCTTAGCCCAGTGAATCATTACACCAAGGGGACTGAATCACCAAATGTTAATCACCACACACCTCCATGGTCTGCTTTACAGTTTACAAAATCACTTTCATGCCACTTTGTTTGACCCCCTAACCCAGGTAGAGGTCAGTAGAACTTGGATTCTTATCACCATGTACAGATGAGACTATGGAAGTTGAATAAATGATGTGCCCAGTCACAGGGATAAGATTGGTTCCTTTTCCTAATGAAGTCAACCTGCCCCAAACAGGATGCTCGGTTTTCTCCACCAGATCTGTTCTGCCCCATTCCAGTGGCTCCACCATTATCTAGTTCTCAGCCCCAAACTCAGTTGTCATCTCTAACATCTGTCTGGCCTTCCATGCACCTCTGCTTCAATCTATTAGGACGTCCCACAGCCGCTTCCTTCAACCGCTCAGCCCCTCCACTGCTATGGCTCTCATTCAAGTCTCCAGAGTCTTTCACCCAAAGCAAGTATCAGACAACTTTTCCTATAAAGGGCCAGATAATAAATAGCTTGGGTTTTGTGGGCTATATAGTCAGTGTTGCATCTATTCAATTTTGCTGTGCTAGCTGGAAAGTGGCCACAGACAAGAGATGCACGGATGGTCATGGCTGTTTTCTGGTAAAATTTTATTCATAGACACTGAAACTTAAATTTTATATACTTTGGATATGTCACAAAATGTTGTCCTTCTTTGGTTTTTTTCAACCATTTAAAACTTTTATATTTAGGGAGGCCAGTTAGCTCAGGTGGTTAGAGCGCAGTGCTCATAACACTAAGGTTGCCGGTTCGATCCCCACATGGGCCAAAGAGCTGCACCCTCCACAACTAGATTGAGACAACTACTTGACTTGAAGCTGATGGGTCCTGGAAAAACACACTGTTTCCCAATAAAATTTCTTTACAAAAAGAACTTTTATATTTATATTTTATATCTTCCATTCTTAGCTCATGGACAAGACAAGAAAAGGCAGTAAGCCAGATTTGACCCATGGGCTGTAGCTTTTGGGCCCCTGACCTGGACCCCTGCAGTAGCTTCCTAACTGCTCTTTCCACTCTCCGCTTTCCATACAGCTGCTGGAGTGTTGTTTAAAAACACACTGAACCACCTGGTTGACCAACTCAACACCCCTCCCCCCAACATGGCTTCCTAGCAACTTCTCCCTTGTTTTGTCACCAATTCTCATATCCTTCCCTGTGGCGAGACAGGTTAGCAAGCATGTTGTTAGGGAGACAGGAAAGTCCCTGGTAGAATAAAACAAAGGCAGCCATATCTTGGAAATCCAGATTCTGAAATGACTCATTCGTTCCAGGGCAAAAATGTAATTGTGCTATGGGGGTAAAAGAGTTACTTCGTAAATCCCCTGAGGCTGGGCAGCAGAGCGAATCTGATAGACAAAATCTATTAGAAGGCGCCAACTCCCTTCCCCAAGCATGAAAGAGGAAGTATAAAAGTCAGAGCCTTTTGCCTTTGCCAGTGGGCATCCCAGTTTCGGGAACCCCCTCTCATAAGAGAGCTGTACTTTCGCTGCAGTAAAAATCTTTGCTCCTCTACCTCTCCTTCCGAGTTCGCGTTCCCATTCTTCGGGTACTTGAGACCATGATCCCCAGGCACCAGACACCAGGATCCTATATCAGTGGCTTTACAGCGAGATTACCCAGCATTCCCCTCTGGCAGGAGCTCTCCGAAAGCACTGAATTAGGAGCCAGGAGACCTGGTCCCAGGCTGTGTGCAGCCTTGGAGGACGCTGTTTTCTGGCCCGCACAGTAGTTCTCCCACTGGTTCAGTGAAGAGGTTGCAATCATCTGGGGGGGTCTTTTTAGCCTTAGGATTTGTCACCTCTAAGTAGGGTGACCGATTGTCCCAGTTTTCCCAGGACTTTTCTCGTTTTAGCTGTGGATGAAGAAGAGCTTTTATAATAAAACTGCCCAAGTCCAGCGACAGAAAGTAACTTCACAGGGTGATCTGACTGTAAATTCCTAACTGCGGCAGGTCACGACCGGGGAGTCATGCCCCAGGCATGTAATTTCTTCAGTGAAAGGTTTATCCCTTTTGCCTTAAACAAGCCCTGTCCATTGTTTCTGTGCATCTAGGTTAACAGGCCTTTGAAATGAGACTTTTTGACCCCTCCTTCTAAAGCTTTACCCTCCTCAAGGGAGCACATAATGTTGTTAACTGTCCTGTAACCCAGTCTTCGCCTCACTTCCTCCCACATCTGTTTAATCTTCTTCACTTCCCTCTTAATTCCAAGTGCATAAAGGAAAGTGCAAACAGTCATTTTCAGAAGCACTTTTCTTAGCCTGTTAAGATTTTGCCTCCGGGCCTGGCCGAGTGACTCAATTGGTTAAGAACGCGAGCTCTGAGCAACAGGGTCACTTGTTCGATTCCCACATGGGCCAGTGAGCTGCGCCTGAGCTGAGCTGCCCTGTGCTGATGGGTGGCCGGATGGTTCAGTGGTTAGAGCATGCGCTCTTAGCAACAAGGCTGTTGGTTTAACTCCCACATGGGATAGCGGGCTACACCCACCCTCAACTAAGATTGAACATGGCACCTGAGCTGAGTGGCCGCGAGTTGCCAATGGGTGGCCAGATGGCGAGTGGACTTGGAGCTGAGCTAGCTGTGCCCTTCACAACTAAGACTGAAGGACAACAACTTGGCTGTTCACCTTCCCCTATTCCCCAGTAAAATATTAAAAAAAAAAAAATTCGCCTCCAGATGTCTGCTTGGCTCAAATAAACTCTAATAAGCTCTTATAAAATTTTTCTACAGGTTTGGATGTCCTTACAGTGACCTAGCATTGAAAGTCTTATGTCCCAGAACCCCTAGTCCTCCCTTTGGGATCTCCGTCAGAGGGTTACTCACGGCACAGTCAACCCTGGAGTGGCCCCCGTGCAGTTGCCTGGGCTCTAGAGGTGGCTCAGGAATGTGGCTTGGGTTTATCAAGCCCAGGAAGGTTGGAGAACTCTCTCAGCACTGCCTACTGCCTCCACAGTTAGGTAATTATTAATGAAAAGACCAGTGGGTGCAGCATGGAATACATAGAGAAAAACCTCACTGGAAGTTGGCTTTCCTCCTCCCAAAGGAACCCCTTCTTCCCTCTCAGGAGACCCCAAGAGGGTTCACCCCTTCTTGTTTCTGTTATGCATTGAGGTTTGCCTGGCACTTGCTTTTCCTTGAGGCTCAGGGGAAAGCCCTTAGCGGGTCTGACCCCCTCTCTGGGTTTTTGTCTTCCCTTTCCCCCCAAATTTTACCTCCCCTCCCTGCAAAATGAAAAGCTGGGCCAGGCCAGGAGCAGCAAACTCCAGTGCCTTCACGAACCTGGTAATGCCACTTCCAGGGTGACGTGGTGGCGAGTAGTGAGTGGGCACATGGGACTGGAAAGGCTCGGCACTCTGCAGCCAGATGAGACTCACCTGGGGCCTAGATCCTGCCCAGTGCCTCCAGTTCGCAGCTCTGGACTATGTGATTCCTGAGGAGCCTTCCAGCTGTGAAGATGCACGGCTCTGTGATGGAACTCGCCAACATGTCAAGTGTCGGCCTTCAAAGACAGGGCATCCCAGGGGCAACAGTGGTGTGGGGCTGGATCAGACCCCTCCTTGGGCCAGGACTCCAATCGCACATTTCTTCTTTCACGATGGAGCTCGAAGCTGCTCTCTCCCCAATCATCAGTGAGCCTCGGCTTCCTTGGACGATTCTGGGGCAGCTGGATGTGTGGGTGACATCTCGCTGTTTCTCAAAGCATTTGGGGAAGGACCACAGGAAGTGACGTAGCTCTCTTTGTCACATCAGGGTGTGAAGGAGATGCCCTCGACACCCAAGTTTCCTCTAGTACACTTTTCTGAATGTGTCTCCAGATACTTGGAGACTTAACCTTGAGCGGAATATGCACCACTGAGCAGCGAGGCCAGGCTGGGACCCTTGAGCTGGGCAGAGCACAGCGTGGTAGAATAGGTCCAAGCACAGACCTGGACGCAGCTGGGCTGGGGCCCAAATCCCAGTGGGGCTCAAAGAGGCACAAGGTATGGATGAAAAAGGGGTTCTATGGAGGGTAACCTCGCAGGGTGACTTGATCATATGTTCCTACCTGGGCAGGTCCTGGTAGGGAGTCAGTCCTAGGCCTATATCTTCTTTAGTAAAAGTTTTATCTTTGTCTTAAGCAGAGCCCCGTTTATTGTTTCTGTGCATCTAGGTTAACAGACCTTTGAAATGTCTCTTTTCAGGCCCTGTCTGCTAAAACGAGACCCCCTCCCCCAAGAGAGCACAAGATCTTGTGAACTATTGTGTCACCCAATCCCCTTCTCGCTTCCTCCCATTTTTCTCAGCCTGTTGAGAACTCGCTTCCAGGTAATCCTCCATTTAAGGATATTTATAAATAAAAATTTATAAATTTTTATAAAAATTCTCTTCAGATTTGGATGCTTTTACGGTGGCAAAGGGCATGTCCAAATTCACAGGACAAATGTGTATCAACTCCAGGGCAAGAGTGGAACTTGATGTGCCAGATAAGTGTGAGACCTATTACGTCTCTCTCTCTCTCTCTCTCTCTCTCTCTCTCTCTCTCTCTCTCTCTCACACACACACACACACACACACACACACACACACACACACACACACGTGTGAGCACGCACCAGCCTTATCCCATTTACAGATGAGAAAACTAAAGCTCTCCCATTGAACCTGGGAGTCTCTGGTTCTGAAGTCTGAGCTCCTAACCTCCACTTGTGAATATTAATATTAGAAAGGGGGCGATTTAACCTCAACCTAATGGCCAGCCAGCCAGTGAGCTCCATGACCCCCACTTTCGCCTCAAAGGGGATTGGGTTTAGTAATCTGGCTTATGATGGTAGACTGCGAGCCCCTGAGGGAGGGGCTGTGTGTGACTCTGACCTTGCTATTTCCAAGGCCACACTCATGGGGGCAGGACTGGAATGACTAGCGGAGGTGGCTGGAAAACTGAAGGATTCCGCTGCCTTTCCCCAAAATGGGGTCCTGGGGTTCTTCATACGGTTAGTTGTTAAAAGTGAAAACTCAAAGTCTTTCCCCCAAGTTTCTTGACTCAGAGTCGTGGAGTTGGCACAGGGTGGGTGTGGGAATCGGGGCTTTAATCAGCTCTCCAAAAACGTCTTAAAAGTCACCCACCGCCTCATAGCAAGCGCTCTGCGCGACCAGGTCCCTGCAGTTCACCCTTTCACCAGCAGAGGGAGGGCCACCACTTCTTATCCGCCCTGGGTAGCTCTTCCACTGTCAGGAATCCCTAAAACCTTTGTCCTGGGCTTGGAGTGAAAAGGGTGCCTTTTGTGTTTGAGAAAGAACACCTGGCCCTTTGTGATTCTGAAAGAGTGTTAAAGACAGCTAGCTCATCTAGCCAAACACGTCCTCCTACAAAGAGGGACAGAACGTGCCCAAGGCCAGTTAGTGGCCGAACTGGGCTCAGAAAGATGGAACAGCTCTGTCCACGCTCACACAGGCCCTTTTCCCTCCACGCTCAGACTTGACTATAGGTTGAAGGGGAAATAGAAGCACCCAGTGGCTAGAGAGGAGAAGACGCTGGCTGTTCCCTGCATTCATGCATTTATTCATTCATTCAATCATTCCCGGCTATTCCCTGCTACTGTGAGCAGCATTATCACATTCTCGTTGGCGGGGGCAGGGGACTGTAAGCACTCACTCATCTGTAACCACACACTGTAGCACGTGGTTCTGAAGGGCAAGTTCAGGGGTCAGGATTGACTGAATGGGGACTCGCTCTGACCAGGGCTAGCGGGTGGGGAGTTAGGAAGGGTTTACTGGGGAAGGGACTCTTGAGCTGAGCAGGGTGAGGCAAGTTAAAGGAGGGGAGTTAGAGCAGGGAACAGTGTTCCAGATAGGGGAACAGCCTGTGCAAAGTCCTACAGGAGAATGAATCATGGAAGGATGATGGGTACAAAGATGCCTGTGTGCCTGAGGGTCAAGGTGTGAAGGGCAAGGTGCTGGGAGAGGATGGAGAGAGGTGGGCATTGGGGACGCAGACGTGCTCAAGATATAACTTTGACCTTAGAGGAGCAGGAGACAAGGTTTGGACACAAGTGGCGTCAACGTGAGGCAGCCCCAGGAAGGCCGTACACCACAGAGCAAGGGGTTGGGAGGGGACGACAGGGCAGGCTCCAGGGAGGAGGTGGCGTTTTGGTTGATTCCCAGCTTGGTTTGATTTAAGAGCATTGGGCTCCTCTTCCTGACTATGCAAAGCAGGTGTCATCTTAGCCATGTGGATTTTCTTCTTGATCCTAAGCAGATTATTCCAGAAGGTAAAAATCGTTCTGACCTGAGAGGGAAAGGAAGGGGATGAGGATGTCTGTTCTTCGAAGGCCAGCTCGGTCCTCCAAACTCTGTCTCTCTCCTTACTATGGCTGCAGCTCACCCCTGGCTCTTCTATGCGTACTGCCGGTTCTGCCCAGCTCCAACCAGATGCAGGCCGAACACACAATCTAGGGCTGAGCCCCCTGTGCATGAACCCTCTGCACCCCTCAGCTCAGAGCCACCTGATCTCAACACTTCAGAGTTGCTGAAGATTATGGGATAACAGAGAGGCATGGGTTTTTTTTTGTTGTTTGTTTGCTTATTTTATTTATTTTAAAGATTTTATTAGGGAATTGGGGAAGCAGAATAGTGTTGGGGAATTGGGGAAGGGGAACAGCCAAGTTGTGGCCCTTTAATTTTAGTTGTGGAGGGTGCAGCTAGCTCAGCTCCAAATCCAGTCTCCAGCTTGCGGTCTTTCAGCTCAAGGTGCTGTGTTCAGTCTAGTTGCAGGGGGCGTAGCCCACCATCCCATGCAGGAGTCAAACTGGAAACCTTGTTGTTAGGAGCACGTGCTCTCAACAGCTGAGCCAACCGGCTGCCCATTGGCAACTCAGTGCGAGCTCAGCTAGGGTGCAGCTCACTGGCCCATGTGGGAATCGAACTGGCAACCCTGTTGCTCAGAGCTCATGCTCTTAACCAACTGAGCCACTTGGCCGGCCCCAGGAATGGGTTTTATAAATGTTCAGAAATAAGGGGTGGAGAGCAGGCCCTTGTAATAGAGTCTGACTCCATTTCTTGATATTTCAGTTTTTAGAACCATCTTGGGAGCCTGCCCAGCTCTCCCTGGAAAGCCTCATGGTGTGAACAGTAAATCTTTCTATGCCCTCTGGGTGCACATGGAGTGTTATCAGTGTTGACATACAAACCGAATTTTAGGTGAGGGTGTGTTAAGGGTTGAATTGTGGGCCCCCCAACTGATATGTTAAAATCTTACCCCCTAATACCTGAGAATGTGACCATATTTGGAGGTGGGGGGTCTTAGAAGAAGTAATGAAGTTAAAATGAGGTCACTTGGGTGGCCCCTAATTCAGTATTATGGCGTCCTTATCAGAAGAGATCAGAAACAGACATGTACAGAGAGAAGGCCATGTAAAGGCCCAGGGAGAAGGCGGCCACCTACGAACCAAGGAGCGAGGCCTGGATCCAATCCATCCCTCACAGCCCCCAGAAGGAACTAACCCTGCCAATACCTTGATCTTGGACTTCCAGGCTCCAGAACCATGAGACAACAAATGTCTGTTGTTTAAGCCACGTAGCCCTTGGTATCTGGCTATGGCAGCCTGAGTGGACTAAGACGAGTCCACCCTGCCTTTCTTCTCAACAGCCTCCTGACTCTGGGACCTGTCTGATACACTGAACAGTCTCCACGGCCACGGCCCGGCCTGTGCCTCTGTCCCCCAATCTGGAACGGGTGGCAAAACTAAAGGATGGGCCACTGAGTCCCTCTCTTGGAAGTGGAGAAACGGGGACAGAGAATCTTTGGAGCTGGGTCGCGGTTGTGGCAGAGCCTAGAAAGGCAGTCATGAACCCTGGTGGCCGAGGCCTGGGTTGTCCCGCTCGTGGTTGTCGCCCCACATTCCCTCAGGTTCCATGATGTTCTCTGGCAGATGCCCAG